GGCTTCCGGATGGAAACATTGGACTTCTTTTCATCTCTGGTGTGGAGATGAATTCCCCCGCTGTATATCGCAGCTCAACACTCAGGAATACCTCCCAGCCACGATGAGTCTATAAACCGTTGAGAGGGAGGCATTTTTATGCACTTGTGAAAACTCTACAACGAAGATCGTACTAGCCGCAAGGTCACCTTTGCAAAATTTTACGCCAAAGCTAGTCCTAGGGAAATCCTGCACCAACTATATATATATATATATATGCATATGCATGTAGAATTGGTTAGCACAGTGGTAATGATGTCGAATACCACGATAACGGTGCTAGCTCGACCCCACTCCGAATTCACCAAGTCATCCCCCCGGGTTCTAACAATAGAACAGTGGAAGTCGGAATCTTGCGACCAGAACAACTTCGCCTCATTGATGACGTCATCTAACGCCAACAACACTTTGTTTTTTATGTACCTAGTTTAGATACCTAAGTGATCCACATTCACACGTCCTGCAGGGGGACTTCTTCCAAGCGTTTCTCTTCTTGACAGTCGGTCCTGAGATTTACCACGTTTCACTGTCTTGCAATCGTTCTCCATAGAGGTAGGCGGAATCGGAGATGTATTCGGCTTCCTGTTTTATCGCTTTATTGACATGTCGAATCCTGGTGGAGCGTGAATCTCTCTTTAAAACTCGAGACAACCAAGACAGTGTGTGCTTAAATCGTTATTACAAGCAGTTGCTGCTCTTTGTGGACTGGAGGAAAGTTCAATGGCTTGCGACCCGGGCTTTTCTAAGGCGGCAGTAATTCCCCTGATGGCAATGAATCCTGCGAATCCTGTGATCGACCGTTTGAGGACCATATAACCACTCGAATCGCACCAACGATACTAAGACCAAAAATTGTCTGAATATTTCAGTGTATAATCAAAGATGTTCATCTAAACCTAAAGGAAACGAAATCAATGCCCACGATGCTTATTTACGATTTCCCATTGTAAGTTAGTAAACGAGTACACTCAAACAATCTAGCCTTGGCGATCTGGATCAGTAAATAAGCAATGCGGAAGTGGTGGCGATAGTAACATTCTTTCTCTAGAGAATGAGTTCTACAAGATGCCGAGGGCACAACGACAAAGCCTTCCGCCAGACTTTTCGCACATCGACCTTGAATAACAATCATGTGTGCCATATGCAAACAGAACCAGATAAAGAAAACTGCAACGCGACAAGTAGAGATTCTACTGGCGGAAACTTGAACTACTTGTTCATCAACAGAATACTGTGATACAGTATGAATATATTCCCGTCGTTAAATAAAAAACGTTATCACTTCGGTAAATACAGTTCGCACTAACCTGAACATGGTTTGAAAAAGAGGAATTTCGAAACCAGAAGGAAGATTTGCGCTGTGAAGAACCTAAATAGGAGCTTTAGTCTGCGAACAAAATAGATAATTGTTGTTTGTTTCTCTCTGCTTTATCCAAAGGATAATTTTGTCCTTCTCCCATGAACACAGTTGAATATCAAAAAATGATGGCAACAACTAAGTGACAAACATTTATTACAAAAGAAGTGTGGGCACAATATATCCCAATACATTGAATAAAACTGGTTGGGCAAGCTTTATATCAATACGTTAACCAAATAACGGCTAAAATTTCTTCCCTATGAAGGCTTTCACTGCTAATACGTTTACTACTCTGCCTTTTCTACTGTCACGTGTTTAAAAAATATCGAAACATACGTCGACAACGTCGGATGATAGAGATTGTAAAGATTACGAAGCTTAAAGATCATAAAACTTGAGAAACACTGATGAGGTTAGTGGGAAAACAATCTCAGAAAAAAAAGAGATTATTGGGAAAACAACTTCGGTCTTGCCTTTCTATGTTCTTAGGTTATTACTACACATATTTTGTTCCATAGATAAAAGTTTTTTTTGCATTTTGTGATTTCATCATCTTCGCTTCGTAATAACTGGAAAGACCGACTTTCCATGAACCTCAGCATAAATAATCTCTATATTTACTTATATGTCCTTTAATACAAGAGCATATAAATAACCGCATTTCTCCTTGGTTCCGACTTCTGCTCAATTCAGAGCATTTAAACACAAAACGCTACTTCCGGAAATCTTTTTTCATGGATTCGAACTTAGACGTAAAAGAGCAGAAACGGCTTGCAATTTCAAATAGGATTTTAGTTGAAGCACTGCTAATTGTCGAATGTTTAACTTTCTATCGAAGTTACGCCATGGCAGCCCTAAAAGTAGTGACTAAAGAGAACGACGAGTGCATAAATGGAGGTAAAACTTCAAAAGTGAACGAGTTCGAAAGCCGAAAAAAAAAAGCGCTTAACTAGTGAGTGGTGAATAAACTGAACAGAAGGCAAATGGTCATTATTATAAAGTTTGTTCTGAACAAAAAAGTCATGTACTTATTGACATATTGTTAAGAAATATGAAAAGTGGATTGTGTACAGCAACCAATGACGATCTACGCAACGGCTGAGTGTTGAAATACTTTCCGTACCCCACTTGTAGGGTAAGGTTTACCGTGATTGTAATAGTGGTCCGCAAATAGAATCATCCACTACAACTCCGACAATTCTAGTAAAATCATTACAGAAGGGAAATATTAACCAACCGAATGATATAAATTTTATCACAAAAATACTGAGTTCTTTGCAAAACTTGGAAACCAGGCCAGTTTCGAACCCGTGATTACCTTTCCCGGTGGTTCACATGTAACCTACTCCAGCACCGACGCCTTTTGAAATGACCATGCAAGACCATGAACAAAACCTCCGTACAAAGAACCTCCAAATGGCGTATAATAACTTCGCAATTGCAAAATTATCATTTTATAACGATACTAACATCGACGGGGACCCTGAGTTCGACAAGGCAATACTATTCTGCTAGATTTTTTTATATCCACACTCGAGAACGTGATATGAAAGCTGTTATGGGATAACGCAGAAATGAGAATAAGTGATTGGCAATCACGCCATCTTTCGCTTACTAATGATGTCATCTTAATAACATAAAGAATTAGCCAAGCGGAACGAATGCTCCCTAATTTCGACAATATCTATGCAAATATTGGAAGACAACTAAATGTCAAGTGAACGATGTGAGAACAAACGGATTTGTTTCTAGTGCCTTATTTATGCCGAAATATCTTATCTTCGAATGCTACTTTGACACCACATAACCACAGGGCTTAGCAGGAGAGCTCAAATGGCTTGAAGTGCCTTCAAAAAGCACCGAGGATGTACTGAAACGACAAAAACCACAATACGCCATGCTTTTCTATTTTACAGATATTGTTTCCTTAATGCACGGCTGCACAGTTGGTTGCTGTGTAAACTGGATGAAAGACCAATGAGCGCTATCGAATGTACATGTCAACGGTGAACGACCAGAGAGGTCGCACTACACGTCAAAATATCGAAGATCCAAGTTGGTTGACATAGGATACATTTAGACGGTAATCGATGAAGAAGAGCTAGTAGTAACTGGGCCTCACGGGATGTCAAACGTTGAGTAGGAAAACTACCGATTCGATGTCAAAAACACTCGAACGAATCAAGGAAAAACTTCACAAAGAAGCTAAAGAAAAAAATCAACGATTTCCGAGTGCGAACGAAACCCACTGGGACACTTTTGTATGCTACAGTGATAAATGAAAACTCTACTACCCTCTCGAGTTACCTAGTGAATAACGGGAGAACAGGTGATACACGATTCCACATTTGCCCTGTTTCACTGGAATAATGCACCGGAAGTTCTTTTACGTCGTCCTGTAGGTAAAGGCCTCTGCACGTTTTGCAACGATGGCATTGTTTACTTTTTACTTTCGATAGAATGTAATAGAACACCATCATATTATGTATGTTTTTGTAAATGGTGTTCTCATATAAGAATGAAAACACGGAAAATGATCCTGCTCTATTACGGCTTCAGGTTTTTGCCTCCAATAGATCAAAGTAGTGGTTCATTTCTTCCCCATCGAATGTCTTACATAATATGTTACTCCGGTTCAAAATGCACGGAATGTTCGTGTTAGAAGCGACCGGAATTTCATAAACACAATGTCGCAAAATTTTGGAACTTACTTGGTACTTTAATGGCCCATCCTCAAGTGGTTGTGCGGGTCCCAGCATAATCTCCATTCCTCGGAGATTTGCTTGTTAAGCCATTATGGTTCCCTAGAGTCCCGAGGTCAACCTGGCCAAAGTCTGCCCCAGGTCTTCACCACCACAGGCAGTCGCAGCTCTTGTGGATCAGAGGGAGATTTACCATTATGCGACCTTGATACCAGGCCGGTGGCGGATCCTGGTATTGGGTTACTCTTAGCTAAGCTTCCTGATGGAAACGCCGGACTCCTCAGCTTGGGAGATCCTGCCAGGGGATAAATCCCACGCTGTACATCGCGGTCAACATCTAGGAACACCTCCTAGCAACGATGAGGCGGTAAACCGTTAGGAGGATTTTGGAACTCATCTTCCAATTTTCAATACAACGGTTCATACAGCAAAAGAGTATACAGTGATCGTAGTCCTCTTTATGGTCGCCTGATCGTTTCATGCACCAAAACTTCGTAGGTTAAGAATTACTGGTCTTTTGACGAGATTATACCAACAATATACATATCAGTTAACTTCTAGCATGAAGAGCATTGCAAGAACAAGGAATCCATTCTATGAATCTATTTGTTTCTTAGGTCACGTAAGGCTTTCTTAGCAGAAGTTTGATTGTTTATTTGTCGAATGAAAATTCCTCCAGTGGTAGAGAACCTTTCAAACTATAAACTATATAAGGTCATTAAAGCCATTATACAAGATTTGGTGAGAACATTTTCCCCTGCCTTCATATAAGTGACGGTTGGATTAGAGTGCACATGAAAAAGCACATGAAATGGATTGTGGAGAAAATCGAGGGTCGACACTACGACGAGGCAGAAACTGTGCGTATTACCCTTTTTCGGGACCACAGTAAAGATGGATCACTCAACAGTATAATGAGCAATAAACGTACCAAATGGTTGATACCACGAATAGAATACGAAGCCGTAATGGCCGAAATATCCAGCTGCCCAAGAAAGAAGCTAAGAAGAAGCTCCACTAAAAAATACCGGATCTCAACCAAAATCCACAAGTTTACTAACTTGTAACAGAAATGTCACCACTAATAATAAAATTGCCCCTAAATCAAACGTAGAAAGCAGCTAAATTTCATCAATAATTCTAGGAACCCAGATTACCTTGCTGTACTGAAAGAAAATCATGTGGGAAAGAACAGACAAGATCAATCAATTCAGAAAACGCAGTCTCTTTGATGTTATCAGAATCGGAAAGCAGAAGCGGTCTGAAATTTTCGTATCATCAGGCACTAATTTTTAAAGTACAACTTAATGGCTCTTTTTTGTTAAGGAAAATTCCAGCTTTATTTATAACTTTCACAAACAAGCGTTCAGTAAACTTCTCATTTAAAGAAGTTCCTGATCTTCTCTGCAATGATGGAAAATTGCTAACTCCTACTTGCTTTCGGTAGTGTTGCTGAAGCGTTTAGTTAACGAATTTAGGATCGCATACCTTTTCATTTCGAAGAAATCGCTTAGAGTGAGTTGCTTATCAACCAGCAGCTGTTTGTAAAGGTTTGTATCACCTTGGGCTGGTGACATTCTATAAAATCGATACTGTGTCAAATCATTAAAGAATACTGCTTATTAAAACATTAGTTCACTTGTTTTTTTCAAACCTATTCAAACACTGTTTTAGCCAAAAAACTACACTTTTCAACAAATAAACTTCCTTTGCTAGGAAAAAAGCAGTTCAACTAACGACTTCTAATGAAGAACAAAGTGAATAAGGTGCATACAACCATAATAATGCTAAGATATTGGCAAAACTCGGGACCAGAAGTAGCGTTTTGTGTTTAAATGCTCTGAATTGAGCAGAAGTCGGAACCAAGGAGAAATGCGATTATTTATATGCTCTTGTATTAAAGGACATATAAGTAAATATAGAGATTATTTATGCTGAGGTTCATGGAAAGTCGGTCTTTCCAGTTATTACGAAGCGAAGATGATGAAATCACAAAATGCAAAAAAAACTTTTACCTATGGAACAAAATATGTGTAATAATAACCTAAGAACATAGAAAGACAAGATCGAAGTTGTATGCAGTGGAACGCGCTACTACCTTTCCGAGAGCTAACGCGTTCACCACCACACCATGCGGGTCCTTCGTCTGGCCTGTTTCTCAGTTAGTTTTCTATCTATCAGTCCCATCAGCAATCACCCGTCAACGCGAATGATCTGAGGAGCACAAATCGGTAGATTGAAAACTAATGAGAGAGAGTGAGAGAGAGAGAGAAAGATAGAGAGGAGTGAAACGAAGGACTCGAATGGTGTGGTGGTGAACGCGTTAGCCCGTAGCGCGGAAGAATAGCGCGTTCGTTCCCCACAGCAAATACCTGCGGTTCGTCGGTGTTCTGCAAATATCTCAGCAATATTATGGTTGTAATTCACACAGCACCCTGTCGTGAAAAATTGTAGTAGGCAGCAAATAAAAAGTTAACACTGAATAAGGTGTGAATTCAATGGCGGACCAATAATAGGACTTCTTAATTAGAATGAAAACCATTTTAATCTACAAATGTTTTCCTAAAATATACAGGTCATCTTATCCTATCGAAAAAACCAAGGCTTTTTGGAGCTCATGACATATATTTCTACTAGTACATTGTTTTAAGGCTTATATCGAACACGAAAGCAAAAGAACAAGAGTGTCCACTGGTTTATAAAATCCAAATTTATTCAAAGTTGCAAAGTTGGACAAGAATTATACTTCCCACTGATGCGACAGAGCGAAGACGTTTCTATAATCCATAAAGTTCTGAATTCCTTCCTGAACCTTGAATAGAAATACTCTGATGACCGAAATGTTTTCGTCAGTCACTGAGAAACCATCCTTCTAGCCCACAATATACATGCGGTCATTGATTCAACCTAGCGCCGAGGTCTCACCCAGCCCTCCATCACTCTTGAGTCGGCAAATTGGCAGCAGACTTGTCTGGGAGACTAGCAGCCACTGATTTTGTACATCGCTATGCAACCACAAGGCATTGTATACGCCATATATATTGTCAATCGCTCCTGACAATGCTAGATGAAGGCGAATGCATGACGCTTTCCATAGGAATTGATCAACGCCAGAAACCTTTTTAACCCTTTACAGAGAAATCAGGTTAAGATTTTACGTATTACAGACACTATCTCTTTGTAGTAGTTATTGACTAGTTCACTATTTCTTACTAGAGAACTGCAAAAACGGAAATATTTTCAGATTGTTTAATTTTTAATTTTTTTTACTGCCTACTACAATTTTCGCGGCAGGGTATTACGCGAAATACAACCACAACGATGCGGAGATATTTGGAACACTCCGGACCGCAAATGTTCGCTATCGGGAACGAACGCACTATTACCCTTTTGAGGGATAACGCGTTCACCACCAGACCATGCAGGTCCTTGGTTTCGTCTGTCTCTCAGCTTGTTCTATCGATCAGTGCCATCAGCAATCAGCCGTCAACAGAACTGATCTAGGAAGCCGACATAGGCATTGGACTCAGTTAAGCTGACACTGTAGCCGAAATCCGGGATGTAGTTTGAAAATTCTAAATTTTACTTCCAGACTGTTTCAAACAGCCATTGGCGCATTTTTCAATGGACTTCGAGAGGCGAATCGCTTGAATTTAGACTGAGAATCAAAAAATTTAATATTAATGAAAGCAGGTTTTTGACAAAGTGGTAAAAACTACTTTACACCAAATTATGACAACAGATGTTTACAATTCCATATGTTTCCAACTTATGAGGTTGTGGAATATTATCCGTGAAACACACATTAAAACTATATAATACGAGCTTACAATTACTAAGAGTGCATAAATCCGTGAGACATCCGCTGGAAAGTTAACCCAACTAAGGATAGAAAAATGTGTATCGAATAGCCTGGAATGCCGCCGCTGACTTCATACACCGTCACGGTGATGAAAATATGTATTCCTTTATCGCCTACATGAAATGTCCCAGTAATAGCAAGTTTTATTAACTGATTTTAAGGCAAAATAAGCCGAAAATCTTCGTCGACAAAACAGAAATTTTCAAACAAAATCCAACAAAAACGAACTCTGATGTTCTAAAGAACGTGTGCAGGGCAGTGTTTAGAGATACTCACCAATAAGCACATGGTCTTTGGTTCGATTCCACACCTTGGACTTACCAAGCCTTCCATCTATCCGAGGTCACCAAATCACAGTCGGACTTGTCTCGGAGGATAGCACCACTGACTTCATACATTGGTAAGCCACTATGTTCCAAATATGCATTCAGTCATCTCTGGCAATGCTTGATGAAAGAGCATGCATGACGCATATCTCAGGGATTAAGCAACGACGAACGCACTTTATTTTAACGTTCTAAAACCTACATAACGTTTCGCTTTCTTTTCTTTGTCGAGGTTGTCTAGAGAAAATCATGCCTCCTACTGTGTCGCTAATATCTATCGCTGTCAAAACTGCGTTCAAAATTTAGAAAAAAACCTGGTCCTCAATTTTTAATTGAAAATAACATCTTGTAACATAATATATACACTGTCATGCTGTCATGACAGAAAATGACCACACCCCTATAGCCTCTCATGCTAGGGAAATAATAACTCAGTTGAATGGAACAGCAACTACAATCCAGATTTATAAGAGTACAGACATTTTTCTACTTTCCTATTCCCTCAGGTAGTTTAGTTACCGAGATTTTGACAAACCACTTAATTGACGCCATCTTTTAATTATCTAATGGCTCCTTCACACTTTGGGGTAAAAAACCAGACTCTTTCCAAATCTACTGTTAATGTTGTAGACTTCCAATGCAAACAGTTTTCTTCTCATGGTTATTTCAGTTCATAAATTTCACCTCCTCGATCTTTGCAGGGAATAAAGGTTTACTCATCAAAAACGAATATTTTCGTTGATTGAATCGTTTTTCTGCTCTTAACATCTCTCAAATCTAAAGTCCCGGCACTAATGCTGAGTTTGAAGAAGGCAGACATAAAAAAATAAAGTAGGATTAAATAAAATAGGGCTTTAAACCCCGATAAGGATAAGGGATAAAGCTCTCAGAGTTGATCAATTCCTGAGGGCTGCACGAAGCGTTCAACTTCACTACGCATCGTTAGAGGTGATTGAATGCATATCCTGCCTACATAATGACTCATGGTTGGCTGCCGATGAAGCGAGTCAGTGCTGCTATCCTCCTAGATAGGTCTGACACTAATTTGCCGGCCCTGGAAGGATGGCATGATTGGTGAACCTGGGCCGTAGGATCGATCGCATGTGCATTACATGACACCTCTAACCACTGCTAAACCTTGATATTAGCACATTTTCCCAAAGAATTAGCTACCCATCGATCACCTACAGTGTAGTCGCGTTCTGTAAGATATAAATAGTCAGGCTCCGCAGACTGCACGGGAATTTCCCTGACATTCATCGGCGTCCCTGTTTTCATGTTCTATGACTCGTCGATAAACCCATTACTAAACCACCGCCAATCCAAATGCTATGTAAAGGATCCATTATCTTGTGAGATTACTAACAATGCATCTTTTAACACTCTCGCGACGAATGACACCTATAAGTGTTACAATGGTTTTGCTGGAGGGGCCGGTGTGCATAGGATTTGACCGGGAAAAAATTTCTGAAATCCAACTGGGAACGCTACAGCCTAGCTATCTCAGGACTTCAGGTAGAATCGACTCTACCAGTATTCTGCGACATTCAAAGTGAAATGAAAAATCCTCAAGCGGCGCCCGAAGCCACACGTAGGAAGTTGGAAGACCTTAGCGGATTATGGATGCTAGGAAATGAATCGAATGTGAGAAGTGCTGGGATCCTCACAGTAGACGTGAAGGCGGATGGTATGGAAACAAAAATAGAAAGAACTCCTCAATAAAAACAGCTTAGATAAAAGCCGGCTAAACATATAAAAATATAGACTCCATCGCAATAAGCGTTTCCAGAACTCTCAGAGTGGCAGAGGCAGAGATGATTGCACTCATACACATTTCTTTTTATGAATGGCTGTCTGAACATCCATATTCGATATACATGTGCCCTGATTGCTGAGAAAAGAACGCTCACATGATTGGCACTTGAAGTAAAACAGGTGAAGGACTTCTCAAAATGGTCAACCAGCAAAATATGAGCGAACGGTTGAAAGTCGAACAGAATTGAAGCAGTGATCCAAGTAGAAAATTAATGCGATATTCAAAACACCGACTTCCTGTGGACCGCGGCATAAATAATCAAATTTATTTACATATTCCTATTAACCGATCTTATTGAGCTGATGCGACCTTGGTATAAGTTGTTGTTGGTCGATGGGTGACGTTTCGGCGGTTTCGCCTTCCTCAGAGCCGTGCTGTTACGAGTGCAACTCCCATTCCAACAACAACAACAACAACTTATCTTGCATCATCTCAACAAGATCAGTTCATAAGAAGATAAATAAATAATGTGATACTACTGTAAGTTTACACTGCATGACATGACACCAACAACTCACCAGAAACTCTCAATGTATAGAAATTTACAACCAAAGAAAATTTCTTGCATCCGAGCTACCACATAGCATCCTATTCCCACTATACTAAAAAAAACTAGAGCAAGTGTCATACACACCTATCTTCCTAAACGGCCTAAGCACACAGAGCTTTCCTGTTCATAACTTATGTATATTTAGCTTCTCTCTGTTTAGTTTTTCTGCCTGGTCACTCAGACGTGCTTGATGGACTAGTGAACCTATTAAGAAATGTGTGAAAAAAATCACTATGGATAAATACAAGAACCAAGTTTCATCTAAAACAGAAATGACTGTGTTGCACTCACACGTCCCTAACTAGTGATATACTGGAGGAAACCGCACCATTATTAACCATTTCCTGATGAAGCTGGTTCTTCGATAACTTATTGAAGCGTTTCAGAAATTCAGGATTTTATGGATTCATAGAAAAGTCTTCACGGTACCCCATCAACCGTGCACTTGATTTTCAAATAACTGACAACGAAATTTAAGCATTTAAAACTTCCAACGGAACAACGACCGCTGCAAACACAGACGATGCCGTGGGAACACTGCCGCATCATGCAAGATAAAATGCGAGCCTTGAAGCAAGGAACTGGACAAAACATGTCATCTTCTCCAGAAGATCAGAATTTCATCTTGATAAAACAAAAGCCATTTACTCTACAGGCAAAGATTTTCCGATTCTCACAGGTTCTATTGCAAATAAAAACAAAATTACTGTGGACTGGTAGTTCATCCAAAATCGGAAGCAGCGTCTATTTTCACGGCGCTGTGAACCTACTGGTTTTTAAACGGTGATTTTTCTGAGAACTAAAATAATTGAGGGCTTCGAACATGAGGAAATCATAAAGAAGTTGCTATAGGGCATTCATGACATGTAAGCCATTTCTTATGCGTTAATACAGCCTACCATACAATCACAATGCTATTAAAAGGATAAAAGAATGAAGCTCTAGGTGTCAATCAATCCCTGAGAATTCCGTCATTCAACATCACTACGCATCGTCAGAGGTGATTGAATATATACCTGGCCTATACAATACTCACGGCGGCCTACCGACGTATCGGGCTAGAGCTGCAGACAAGTCTATACCAATTTGCCGAGCCCGGAGGGATGCAAGGTTTGGTTGGTGAACCTTGGGAGCGGGGATCGATCTCGTGTACTGCAGGGCGCCTCCGACCATTGCAGTACACAAGCCCCAAGTTGCAACTAGCACTTGGAAATGTTCTGCAGCTTACGCTGTCTATTTGTTTTTATACACACTCCATGCAACAATCATGACCCACCATACTGACTGGAATGAGACAACAGTTACCAATCAAACTACTAGTCGGTGAGGTCCGAAAATACAGAAGACCTTGATCTGTAAATCACTAGCCATGCTTGACTTAATATCGTGTTAGATAAGCTACCATCTGATTAAAAGAAGGATAGGAAGGAAGTTCTACTTGCCAGAATAAGGCACCGGAAAGATGGCCTCTGTAGAGAACATAGCAACCACAATGCCCCGCTACATCTACCCCTAATGGGAGGCAACTTGTCACTTAATTGTTAAACAAGGTGAAGAAGAAACTTTGGTTTTTATTGGAACAAAGCTAAAACCCCGCTATAGAAGACCTTTTGCAAAACGTGTCAAACAGATCAGCATTAAATGCAGCCAGTACAGGTAAAGCTCCTGTTGCTTCAATAATAATAACCCCAAAAACTGTAAACTGGAAAGACTCCAAATTGTGTAAAAGCTTCTGAGTAGGATCTTACATTAGCGAGAAACTGTAGGCACAAATGTCAAGAGCATTAATGATGTATAAATGTATTCCAATCCACTGGTCAGAGCATATCTGTACGACGTGCATAGAATCACCGCGCCAAATTCGTGGAAAAAAACAAGTTTCCAAAACCCCAAAAAATACGGCCGAGGACGGCGAAACGTAGGACAAGCATAGTGTGGTGGTGAATATGTTAGCTCCCGAAAAGACTCATAACGAGATTTGATCCACGTCCCAGACACCTGCGGTCCGGAGTTTTGAAAATATCTCAGTATCACTGTAATTGTATTTCACGTCATACCCTGTCATATACAAAGAATAGGCAGTAAATAATAAGTGATTACAAATAAGTCTGTCCTAACAACTCTTCTCGTATCGATATATAACACGTAAAATGTCGCAGAGAAAAATACGTGACGGAAGTCGCTAGTGATAAGCATCGAACATGACTCATACAACCATCGCGTTGTTGTTAAAAAGCGCTGGTTATTGGATAAACCCGGTGAAACGGCTCCTTCAATTCACATGCTGCTCTTTTTCATTTCATAAGAAACTAACGAAACGCTGAACGATAATAGCCAACAGAAACAATGTAAAAAATTGAACAAACCACGATAGTGTGAAGCACAGAGGAAATACGAAATTTCGATCAAATCACTATATTCACGTAGAGAAACGCCAAATTGAACAACCACGCTCTTCATGTTTATGAAATATTTATTCATTCATAGCTAACGCTTTGCATTCAATACATCACCTTGCGCTCCAATGTACTGAAATTATCTGAATAAACCTCTGAGTCATGACCTAAATAGAAGCGGCCAACAACGAAGCGGGTTATTGCCGCGGACCTAAACGCCAATAACCCATCCCAATGTTGGGACGCATCATTTCATCTACCTGATCTTTAATCCATTATTTTCACTACTTTTAATATTTTGTCTTGACGCAAAAAAGTAAATTGAGTCTCCTCTCCGACTGGAAAAATACAAACATGTGAAGCAGATGTGACCCATGCGACACGAAGAAGAGAAGCATCAAATAATACTAAACACCAGATAGAACAAAATGCACCTTCACATATGTGTGCTAAAAATAACCCCGATATAAAAACACCTAATGAATTCGTCTAACCAAGTTCATAAATGTGCTCTATAACTCTAAATCTTTTCGAACCGAAATCGTCGCAAAACAATGAAGCCGAAGAAGGTGAGGTATGTAGCAAATTTTAAGACAGACCTTACTTTAAGGTGTCTTACGGAGGGTAAATTTTTAAATCGCTATGAATTACACCTTAGCTTCCTATACAAGCAACAATATTGGGAAATAACCTGAATTTCTATATATAATTAGCGCTAACAAAACATTAAACGACTAGTTCGAGGACTCGAGATTGACAATCACAACATTTCACCATTCAATGGACAACTGAAGTAGAAAAGAAAGAAATTCTGATGGTAACAAAAAATAAGTTCAAATTCAAAGAATCTTCTAATCTCTCAGGATCTTAGGGCCGTACTAACAGCTCGCACGAATTTAACTTAGAGTACTATGAAGGCAAATCAACATCTACCTATTTAAGCAAATGGTTACACAACAAAAATGGAATGATTTACATGTTTACACGAAAATGGAGTTAGAAGAAACTGTATGGAAAGGGTGGGCTTTCCCCTTCAATCGCTAAGACTAGGACTAATAACTTTCATGAAAGGTTCCTAAGGTTCTTGGGAGGCGGATCCTGCCACAAACTGTAACGAAACACAGCACTAATGTTGTTATAGTATTCCATCTTTTCTTTAATGGCTATACCACAAGATGTTTTCGCACATCACTTCTTAAAAAGTTACTGAGTCACAGATTGGCAGTCGCTTTCACAGGGAATTGTTTGAAGACACAAGTCTCTCAAGAACCCTTGATATTGATGAGACAGACTGTAAACTCCGGATTATGGGTATGTAAAAAAAGATAATTCCAGCTTACCCATAAATTTGGACTAATGTCGAAATCACAGTAAACGACACAACTATAACTTTAAACAGAACATATTTTCAATCAGAAGTACAAGTATAACAGATCTACGTCATCAGAGATTTGAGAAAGAAAACAATAGAAAACCAACTTTATGGCTTAGTAAACCCGAATATGAAAGTGTTCGCGATAACTCGCAAAGATAAGAAAAAAAGGGCATTTCACTCCGAGGGGTAGTCGCCATTTATCGTGACGCCTAAAGCGAGAGTGCTCGAACTTGGCGATCGAACACCGAGAGCAGTTTCCTTCACCAAAGAATTAAATGCGAACAAATTCAACATATCAATCATCTGCAGCGACTCATTTTTCTTGGCCGCAACTTTCTGCAAACGGGACGTGAAATTTTCCACACAATTATAGTGCATGACAAAACTTCTCACAAAGTGTTTCATCAACAGAAAATGCGTACTCGAATAGTGGGTATCCTTAGTAAGATGTTAGCATATCGCTCCTCGACTAGGGATCCAGCGTAGTGCCGTTGAATATGTCTATGCAAAGCAGTGAGCAATTTCTTTTGTTCGGCAGCTACATTTCGTTGACTGGCCGAGTCAATACCATCCGTATCTAAATAAATAGAACTTATTAGTTCACCATAACTGGATAAAGGATAAAACTCTCGGCGCTGATCAATACTTGAGGAATGTGCCATGGATTCAACTTCATCAAGCAACGTTCGGAGGTTACTGAATGCATCTGGCCTTTACAATGACTCGCGGTGGCCTGCCGATGCATTGAGCCAGTGCTGCTATCCTCCAAGGTAAGTCTGATACCAATTTGCCGACCTCGGAGGGATGGAGGGCTTGGTAAGCCTAGAGCGCGAGGATCTAGCCCTAGTGTATTACAGGGCGCCTCCGCCCATTGTGCTACACGCACCCTTTCACCGTTATAGGAGGTGCACTACCTAATTGGATAGCGCTAAAAACGATGAATGTTTCTTATTCATGACCAAGATAAGTGTAACATGGCGGATTTATGAAGATTTGATCGCATAACGCTGGATATGAAATATTAAACTATAAAAGAATCCTATAATGCATTGTTTGAAAACATACCAGGATCGAAAAACATAATGGCTTGAAGCGTTGCAAATTCCGTGGTAGAGATGTTGAGTTGACGAAACGGTTTCATCACGTAGTCAATCATCGCTGCCATCACCGGAGTTAATCCAGAAAGACTAAAGGAAATCACTTTCTGCGGGCATCCGGAAACTGCATCTCGGCGACGATCCAGTGATCCAGCTGACAACCTATCAATGATTATTGACAACTGAATACAAAAATGTGAATAAAAATGTAAAATATTTGATTAGGAACAGAGAAAAAGAAAACATGTAGTATTCGACTAAATAAATTTGATCAACAGTGGACGTATCAGACGATAAAACATTCTAGATAAAATATCTGTGTAAAGCTCTGGCAACTAGTATTTTACAATTTTAGAAGATAACGTAGCGTACCCGCCATTTTCTTCAAAGAGCTTGCTGTCGAAAAAAGTATGCATCTTTGGTCGTCCTTCAGTGCCTGGCACTGGTCGACCATAATCCTGAAAACACAAAATACTCACTTACTTGATACTTGAATGGCCCGTCTTAATTGGCTGTGCTGACCACAGCACAATCACCAGTTCTCGGAGATTCGCTAGTTAGGTCATTATGGTTCTCTGGAATTCCGAGGCCAGCCTGTCCAAAGTGCCCCAGGTCTTACCACCACAAGCATTCGCAGCCGTTGTGGATCACGAGGAGATTTGTCACCATGCGACTTTGATACTAAGACGGTGGCTGACCATGGTATTGGGTTACTCTTAGCTAGGCTTCCTGAAAGAAACGCCGGACTCCTTCTCGGCTTGGGAGACCCAGCCGGGAAGACGAATCCTCCCAAATGAAAAAAAGGTGTTTTTTTTTTATAAAATAGGTTTGCAAAAGAGGCCATTCATGGCTACTAGTGTCGAATCTAGGTCTATAACGGTCAGAAACTGCTGTATTTAGCTAAAAGTTGTGATTTAGCACGCATCGGTAAACACTACACGTTCTCCTCCTTTTCGTTCGATCCATCGATGGACCAGATTACACTAACCTGCGTTGTTTCTTGTTTGCTACAACGAAATTTTTTAAGCCTACACTGTTCTCGTGCAGAGGTGGAATGGAAACAGACATGACGAATCTGATACAGCAGGCCTTTTCCGATCGTACTAGCGTAGAATACCATAAGATGTTGAGTTATTCCACAGGTAGACATAGACTTTCATCGTCAGAAAGAAAAACAGAATGTTGCTATTTAAAAAAAATTGAATAGAAGGATTTCTAATCGGCATAACACTTAAGAACTTACGCCTCAAGTGACGTAAGAAACATCATGGCCTTTCTACTACCCATGATGGCTAAAAGAAACAACAAGCCTGTCCAACACTTTGTGGGATTGTAGCGAATGGTATCAGATGATTTCGTACAAACTTTTTGTCGGAAAGAATAAAAAGTGCAGGCTCTACTCATTCCTTCATTTCATTATTGAGACTGTTACGTTTTCATTTAGACCGTTCATTGATCATGTAAACGCGACCAACCCAATTGACTACCAAGTCAAGCCTTCCTTCCCTCCGTGCTCGGCAAATTGGTACCAGACTAGTCTAGAAGCACTGCAGCACTGGTTCCATACATCGGTCACCGCTAGTCATAAATGTGATAATGAAGTTTTGATAGGCAATGAAAGGACGTTTACACATACTCATTTCAAACAATGAAAGAACGGGATGTCGCCACCACTATGGTGGATGATTTTTCTAGCCGTAAAAATGGGAACATTCCGCTCTTCAATATACACGGAACGAAACTCCCGTTATAGCCCAAAAAAAAACCGGCACTTTACAACGCTAAAATCAGATGGAAAACCTAACCCAGACGTTGATCGAGCCGTCCTATATTTGTTGACGACACAATAGAATGAGGGCCGTATTTTAAAGTAACCCTCTAGTCCTCGCTTTATTGTTTTGTTTGCCTTATAAAACAATGACCAGGATTTATTTAGAAAGTTAGAAACCCATCCCTAATGACACTTTGCTTGCACTTTCCTATTTTAAAACTGTACCCCTTAGTCAACCACTGTTTCGTTCCAAATATAAATCTTTTATATATTTTATATAAATATAAATAAATATAAAATCTTTTATGGAACACGTGTGACTTTTATAACTAATGCTTTGATAGTTCTCACTATCGAGTACCTGTGGGATAACTGTCCCATAGTCTGCCGGCAGGCTACCGTACTCTGTTGGAAGACGCATCGTAAGAACCTCTGAATTTGTGGCATTCAGATCATTCTTAATCCTAAAACTAACTCCACATCAACAAAAAAGGATAAAAAAGTGAAATAGAGAAGATGGAACTATTATTAGACGATGAAAGTGTGTATTCTTACAGCAATCCCTGCATCTGATCGCTAGATGTGCCCGAAATAACGGTGCCCTCCAGTTTCTTCTCACCGCGTTCCGGGGTACGAAAGGCCTCACACATAATTATATACGAACTAGCATGGTTGGTAATGAGAGCTATCTGAATTATAACAGACTATTCTCTAGATAGAGAATTGAAGATCAAAGCAAAAAAGAAAAACATTTTACCAAATAACAGTTTCTGGATCAAAACCAAGCAACAATCGCGAAAGTCAAGCTCCATTTAATCAACCATAGTATAGGGAAACTCGCCACGCTTCTACAACATTAAGGGACTCACATCTATCAAAGAGGGCCAACTAGACGTTTCACCGATGGCTACAATCTACTCAATCAACGAAAAATAACTACCTAAATAAGATGACTTCAGAAACACCACAGGAGTTGTAGGATACCCAGTTAAACACTACCCTAGTTATGGATAAGCACAGTTCAAGAGTGCACTCGTATAACGTCGCCAACACCATGAACTATTGCAGTCTGTGTGCAAAGCATCGATGAATTTTTAGGACTCGCATGGTGTACTAGTGAACGGCCCCAGAAAGGGTAATACCGCGTTCGGTCCTCACCGCAGACACCAGCGGTCCGAAGTTTTGCAGATATATCGGCGTCATTATGGTTAAATTTCACATCGATGAATTGTTCCCACTTACCAGAGGTAAGAAATTGTGTCAAAGAAGTAATTTTAAAAATATATAAGGATAAAGTTTTCGGCATTGATCAATCCCTGAGGTATGCGCCATGCATTAGACTTCATTAAGCATCGTTGGAGGTGATTGAATCCATATCTGGCCTTTGCAATGACTCGCGACCTACTGATGTATCGAATCAGTGCTGCAGTACTCTCAAACAAGCCTGGTAGCAATTTGCCGACCTCGGAGGGATGGAGGAGGGCTTAGTGGGCCTGAGGCACGGAGATCGATCCGATTCGTATTGCAGGTTGCCTCGGATTACTTCGCTTTGAAAACATACCTTACAGCAAATGGGCGCAACTGCTACAGTAAGCTATTTTAAAATCTTCTGGACGAAAAAGCCCTTTACCGCTCGCAAAGTATTTGGAACAACGAGGAGTTTCAACTGTTCCTTTCAGACATATTATGCTTACACTTCGCTAGAATAAGCAACAAAGAAAATGACTTTCATCAATCACGCTGGTGGTTGATTGCTGATGGCAGTGTTAGGAAGAAAACTAGTTGAGAGAAAGGCAAGAGAAGGACCTCAGTGGTGCAAAGTGTATCGCGCAAACTCCTGGAAAGGGTAATCATAGTTTGATCTAGCGTGGGGTCCAAGTTTTGCAAAGAAGTCAGCATCATTTTGGTTAAAAAACACTTTAGTTGGTCAACAAGTACAATGAGGCACCTTATCAGCGTGAGGGAGATTTCGAAAGCAAGCAAACGATTTCGCCCAATCGATGTAGAGAGCGATTATCCTTGACCTCCAGAATGGCATTTTATGTTGATCCATACCAGGTTTCGGAGAAGCAATAGGGTCGGCAATCTAGAACCAAGTATAACTTCAAAAAAAGTCCCACCTAACCACTAATACTTTGTTAAAAAAAGTGCAACCACATTACTCTGACATTAATAGGTTGATGAAAACGACTAGGTGCCGCCAGAGCATCATCTAACGATGCGTAAGGTTCAATATCTGCACGACTAAGCAAGAGGGTTAAGTTGTTCTCCAGCGTCGTAAGTCGCTCGAGCATCGGATCGACCACATTCTGAATAGGAACACTACATGAAACACAAACTCGCTTTCCAGCAACTTACAAAGTAAACAGTGAGACCAACATACATTGTCGTGTCTATGCTCCTTAGAGTCAAGGCAGCTTGGTCCTAGACGAATGTCGTCATGATTGAAGCTATCAGGAGATGTGCGATGACTGGTATGAAAGTAAAAACAAAGTAAGAAAGAATAGATATACTCGGGTGAAGAAGATATCAAAAACTATGGTGATAGTAGAAAGGATAGCAAGTAATGCACAAACTCTACCAAAATAGAAACGTAACATAAAGCAATCAAGTAATGAGGCATTATCAAAGACAAATTATCCTAAAGTAGGCTACATAAATTTAATTATAGGAAAATGAACAAGAAGAAACATTGTTTCTACATCCATTTCCTCTTTTTTATCCGCATTCTCTATTCCCTTTCATTCTAAAAATTCAAAACCAAACAATTTCTAGAAGCATACTTTTATAGCAAATCCCAAGAAAGAACTGTACAAAAAACACTGGGTGTTCCAAACAACGGCTTCCAAAGGAAGAGTGGGAATGCGGACCCACTACTCTCGAATTTGATTTGATAAAACTACTCGGATTACATTTATGAAATATAGAAATGAAATCAAATTTATAACAAGAAACAATCCATAAATTAGCCAGGAAACTATACAGCTAACTATGGAAAATTTTAGGAGGGAGAAAGAGGAAGGCGCACGTAGCGCAGTGGTAGGAGGCGTCTTGCAATACACATAGAATCGATCCGCGCGGCTCAACCCAACCAACCCCACCATCCCCATAGTGTGGCAAATTGTTGGACTTGTCTGGAAGGATAGAAGCATTGGCTCGATACATTAGTAGGCCAACGCTTAATGAGTCATTGTAAAGGCCAGATATGCATTCAATCACCTCCAACGATGCTTAATGAAGTTGAATGCTTGGCGCATCCCTCAAAGTTTGATCAATGCCGAAAACTTTGTCCTTTACCCTTTTATCTTACTTGGTAAAGATTAAACATGCCACAACTTGATTTGCCGGAACAAGTACTAGGGACTACAAAGCCTTGTTGAAGACTTTCTTTTCCGGACAAAATAGCCTTTGTATCAACTGGACCATTCTATGGTCTTTACACTGTTGCCTTCGAGAAATACTATGAACTGAGACGGGCAGTCGGAAAGAACTAATTGAAAGCAGAGTAAATATTCACTTATATAATAATCGTTAAATAAAGCCAACCAAACGCATTTGCTTTTTGCGGGGAATGTCAAGGCCAATGAAAAAGCTAAACAAGGATAAAGCCCTCGGTTACAATGATCCACAGTGGCATACTGTTTCCATCCAGTGCTACATATCCTCTCTGGCAAGTCAGGTATCAATTTGCCGACCCCGGAGGGAATTAAGGCATGGTTGGCGAGCCTTGGGCGTGGGAATCGATCCCATGTGTATTTCAGTGTGCCTCCGACCACTGCGCTGTACGCGCCCCTAGGGACAAAGAAGCAAATTAAAATATAATTACTGGGTCTGATAAAACGGGCAACTCCTCTTCAAAAGAATGTAGATGAAGCAGTTAAAAGCGAGCAACAGAATATTTTAAAAAAACATTTAGATTGCTGAAAGCGCCTATAAAACACAACTGAGGGAAAGGTGAAACGAAAGACCAGCATGGTGCGGTCTTGAACGCGTTAGCTTCCGGAAAGTGTAATAGCGGGATCGATCCCCACCGCACACACCCGCGGTCCAGAATTTAGGAAATATCTTGTTATCACCGTGGTTGTATTTCATATTTAAGAGCTCCTAGTCGTCAAAACAGGTATTTGCAACCAATTTTCGTTTCAGATATCGATGGGCTTCTAAAGACCCCCACATACGCGAAGTGCACGAAGCGATCATAAATTTGCAAACAAGAACTGAATCGGTTGAAAGAATAAAAAGTACGGAAACATTATCGATCAAAAAGAATGGGGCTATTGATTGGTAGCGGATAGAGACTGGACAAATAACTGAAGAGAACCTACTCATAACTGTCGACCACACAGACGGAAGTCTGCTTTTCACTCTTACGAGTGCGCTTCGTGTAGCCGATACGATCACGGTCGTTCTGAATCGCTGTAAGCAGAACGTAACATACTCAGAACGAACGATAAAGTGATATGCCATCACAGAAAAACAACATTTCTTGTCCATTCCTACTAGTAGACATTTCTTCAGACGGCAGTGGCGACAGGCACAACGGACACCTATAAAGGCAAAAACCACGGATAAAAGAACAAACAAAGGATAAAGCTCTCGGTGTTGATCAATCCCTGAGAGACCCGCCACCGTCGACTTCATTAAGCATCGTTAGAGGTTACTGAATGCATATGAGGCCTTTACAATAACTCGCGGTGGCCTATCGATGCAACGAGCCAGTGCTGCTATCCTCTCGCACAAGTCTGGTACTAATTTCCCACTTCATGGGGATGGAGAGCTTAGTAAGTCTTGGGCGCGGAGATCGGTCTCATGTGCATTGCTGGGCGCATCCTGCCACTGGGCTACAAGCGCCCTTAAAACCATGTGTAGTAGCTGATAGATATGTGAATGTTTTAGGTAAAAAGTTGCTTCCGGGAAATTATCCGCAGCTTTTCACTTTCCGGATATTTTCATCGAAGCAGGATATTGGTGCTACACATGACAAAAGGAAAAGTAATAGTTCCAATGCACTTCAGGACGATTCTGCTTCCCTAAAAACATTCAAATCGCCATTAATTTCAACATTTTCATTCGTTCTAAGATATAGTGCACTGTCCAAAAGGTTATAGGTGTCATTCAGAAGATGGCTATAAAGGATAAAATGAAATAAAATTGAGGGCGCGTGTAAAGCAATGGGTCGAAGGCGCCCTGCAATATACATGGAAACGAATCCCGTGCCCCAGGGCCCACCAAGTCCTTCATCCCCACGGGGTCGGAAAATTGATACCAAACTTGTCTGGGAGTGTAGCAGCACTGACTCGATACATCGGTAGGTCACCGAGAGTCACTGCAAGAGGCAAATATGCACTTAATCACCTCTAACGATGCTTAATGAAGTCGAATGCATAGCGCCTCTCTCAGGAATTGATTAACACCGAGAGCTCCATCTTTTGTAGAGGATGGCTATAGAACCACAAATACATTAAAGCAGATCAATTCGATCACCTTTATTCACAGGACAGTCGCCGTTACCCATGCATGTGAACATACGATTGTTCTAAACAGAACTGGGCCTATATTGTACTACACGTTTGAAAACCTGCAAAACAGAAAAAGTGCCTACCACTACAGCACGTCGAAAAAACGTCTTACATCCGTTGCAGGATGGAACGGAGTAGTGGTTCCCAGTAGCAACGTCTTCGCAGACCACACATAGGGTTCCTAAGCAGAAAAGTTGGCAGTCCACACTAACACTGTGGAATGAAAAAGTAAATCAAAACCACCACTATCGAAAACTAATTCAGGAGAACCACATCACAACACAGAAGAAAGTGACGGCAGCAAAAACAATGCAAACATAAATACTTACTTGGGTACTTGGATGGCCCTGTTTCATTGATTGTGATGGCACTATAATAATCTCCATTCTCCCCAGAGTTACTGGTTTAGCCACTGTGGTTTCTAGTGTTCCGATGTCAACCTGCCCACAGTCTGCCTTAGGTCGTCACCACCACAGGCAGTCACCGCTCTTGTGGATCAGAAGGAGATTTGCCACCACGCGACTAGTTTGGTACAAGGACGGTGGTGGATCATGGCACTGATTTACTGGTTTGCTTAGCCTGGCTTCCTGATGGAAACGCCGGCCGAACTCTTTCGGCTTGGGAGAACCTGCTAAGGTGGGGTACGGATCTTCACGCTGTAAATCGTAGCCCAACACCCAGGAGCAACTCCTAGCCACGATGGAGCGGTAAACTATTGGGGAAAAACATGAAAACCGAGTTCAATTCGAAAGCTATGAGTACTTACCTGCGGGAAGTTTTTCCGTCATGCTCTACAACAGATAAGCATTCATTCCCATGACGAAATTGCGATAGACAAACTTAAGGCAGCGACCTAAAATAGTAGTGGAGAATCATAAATAACGATGTGGATATTTATTCGAGATGGTGAATAAAGTGCATAAGGTTAGAGTAATGAGGGTGCACGTTACAGTAGGCTTCACCTTAACAGTGACAATTGCTCCATATAAGAAACTCATGGCTTTAGCATAAAAGTCATCCTAGAGCGGGTCAGACATTCTTTGCTTTAACATTAGTTGCTGAGAAAGGTAACAGCCGACCAACCACACATCGGGTACGGCAACGAGTCGGCGGCATGTGGGAGAAGAGAGGCGGCGAGCGGGCGCGCGGGCGGGTCGCGGGAGGCGAGGCGGCGGCATGAGTGACCGCCGAGGAACGCCGTCACACCACAGCAGGAGCTATGCACGGCTCGCCACGCTTGGCGCGAAGATCAATGTGGGCCCGGTGTCCCAGCCTCGTCGTTCTCTTTGAGTGGAGAAGGTCTTCCGCAAAATACGCTCGCGGAGTCTTGCAGATTCGCTGCGGCTTGCACGTCGGTCAAACGAAGGGAAAGCTTCAAGATCTACAAACTAGTATGAGTTCTCGAGAAGTGTATAACTATTATTGTAAAGATATGTCACTGAACGCGTCACATGGCGCGTCTTCAGGTGATGGATAGGAGGTTACGGAGAACAACAGCGACTTGCAGATGAGACGGTGGAGTTCAGGAGATCAGCTGCCTGCTGGAACCGCTGTATTAGATTTAGCTATTTCTTAAGTGAACACTTTATCATATGCTTACGAATGTTCCAATATTTGCGTTTCCCAGATTATGTATCGAACGTTTCTTGTGCAAAGGATAACAATCAACTGACAGCAAAGTACGTTCGTGCTGGTTCGATATTACCTCCAAAAAGTACTGCTCTTATCTATTCCAGCAGTCGTGCTTCCTCATATGATTAAGCACAGCCCCGTTGTAAGAGCCCGATGGCCACCAGCAGCTACGCTGTCCCCATAAAACACTACAAACGGAAGGTGTAATTCCCTTTTTAACCCTCAGGTAAGCTAAGCTCGAGGATCAACTCTGGAATATGGTAGATGCGAATGGTGACCTCAGTACTGTTTGTTCGAATAATTCAGTGATTGACGAGGTTAAAGGTGATGAAAAAGAAAAGCTAATGACGTAAGGACTCTGTAAGCTGACTTTCTGTTCTGTCAAAAGAAGTAGTGGGTTCCGTCGTTGTATCGCGTGAATTCAACTTCCTTATGTGAGTTTTCAAGCGAATGAAGCTGTGTCTACACGCGGACATCACTCGGAAACGTTCTCTGATCTGGACATACACATGGGCAAAATGCGACTGATTCCAGATAGCGCCGCAAAGGGCAGCACACCATGTGCTGTTCTTTGGTTATCGTCGGGCAGTTTTCAAACATCAGAGTGATCGGCGAGAGTGCAAGTGAAGGACACACATCAACTGAGTCGGCCGAGAAGCGAAAACCTACGTCCAGCCGCGAAATTCGCGGGCAGCACTGATCATCGGGGTTCACACGGCAGTAGTCGAAAGAAAGAACGCAACGAATACATTCGGATTCAGATAGCGATCGTGCGCTTAAGGATGACGATGAGGAAAGAGACGAGTCATACGGGACTCTTTCGCTTTGTGGTGGCCACTGACAGTGGTAGAGTAAGCGAAACGCAGAAAGACACATTTACGCTACCATTACTCTATGGCGTTTACGATACCTGGACAACCTTTGCAATGAGTGGAGAAGCAACATGGGCATTACTGAACAGGGTTGTTTACTTCTCCTAAAGTTTGCGGATTTAGGAGTTATTCAATATCTACCACTTTAAACTGGATAAAGGCTAACCCTACAACCTTACAAATAGATTTGTGCATTTTGATCTGCCATTTTCTGAAACCTCACAATTTACAAAAAAATGTCAGAAGGGCAATAGGTCGCGATCTTTAACATTTTTCAACCTATTCGCCAGTTAAACCGATTTTCAGCTCGAAACTACTCAACGAACGAAAGTAGCGTTCAGTTTTTTCAGAGTGTTTGACATCTTCAATACTCATTTTCCTGAACCCGTGTACTTACGGGCTAAAATTGGCCAGTAGCCGTGAACGAATCAAACTGATAATGCTCAAAATTGTCATAAAGAATGAAGCGAACTGTCCCACTCTAAGAAGATGAAGAGAACGGAGAACGATGTCGATCGCTGAGGGGATGTTGTGTGGGATGGGCACGGAACGTCGTCATGCTCGACACGAGAATTGATTCCTCGTTTCTACGCAATGAATACTGAGCCTATTTGCTGGGAATCATGGCCTCGTAGCCGTCTAGGTGTTGTTCTCGCGGCAGAATGCTCCCAAAGAACCACTCATTCTCATCCGAAGCCACCAGTAGCCTTATTGAAAAGAGAACGGAGAGAAATCGAGTGGGATACGGAAAAAAGAGTCTAAATTATTTATATGATCGAATATGTAACTTTTGAGTGGACGTTGCTTACAACAGCCAAACATCTAATTGAATAAATCCCGGTTAACGACGGGAAATACTAAGCCTTTCTATACTCAGATGATATCTTCGCGATACTTATTTACTTACTTGAATGGCCCTTCCTCAGTGGTTGTGCGGGCCCCAGCATAATCTCCAATTTTCGAAAAATTGTTGGTTAAGCCATTATGGCTCTCTGGAATCCCGAGGTCAGCCTGGCTAAAATCTGCACCAGATCGTCGCCACCACGTAGAGTCTCAGCCCTTGTGGATCAGAGGGAAATTTACCACCATGCGACTTTGATACCAGGACGGATCCTGGTACTGGTTTACTCTTAGATAGGCTTCCTAATGGAAACGCCGGACTCCTTCTCAGCTTGGGAGACCCAGCTAGGGGATGAATCCCCCACTGTACATCACAGTCCAACACCCAGGAACACCTCCCAGCCACGATGAGGCGGTAAGCCGTTCGCGATACTACTGATTAAAACGATTAACTTTATCATACACGTACGTATTGACAAAAAGGTGTGGCGCAGTAGTCTGAGGCGCCCTGCATACACGTCGAATCGATCCCAGCGCCCATTAATGAAGTCGAATATACAGCTCATCCCTCAGGGACAGATCAACGCCGGGAGCTTCATCCTTTATCCTTTGCACACTGATCATCATGCGAATTTCTCAAACTCTCCTTACCTCTCTCAAATTTTGCTACCAAATGTAAATAACTAATATTATATTAGCATAGTAGTACAATAGTAAGAATTGCCGATACAAACACACGAAAATATTAATAGTTCTAGAAAATCATCTAGGTCGACATACGGATGGCCACCATCGCCTGTCACCTGTCCTGTTGCTCATCGAGCGGCACCTATATGCTCTGCTCTGAACAGCCCACATCACTGTGTCGCGTGCTAGAATTGCTTAGTGAGTTCTGTCGTTCGATAGACACGAAAAATACTTCAGTTTTCTTCTAACATCTTCGTGAAGAGGTACCATCATCTGGTGAGATATCTTCTTTGTGCGCTTGATACCCCGTGGGATCCAGTAGCTGACCGATCGTCTCAGATGGCTGCCATTAACAAGCACTACGTGCACAGCCCAGCTGACTTTCTACATCTTTTTCTTGCGAGGCAAAGGCTCCGATCTTTGGTCTTCGACACAGGTCAGCAGTCCGTATTCCTCACTCACTTGCGTGATGCGAGGTAGCGCAAGCATTTCACTCCAGATAGTGTGCTTGATAACGCTATCTTTTATTTGTTAAGTAGCATAGAGAATTCCGAGGTGAATGTTAATGGGAGGAATTCGTAGAGTCGGAAAGGTGAGCTCAAAGTAGCTCGTCCTTAGACCTCCTCACTACAACCTCGATGCTCTCGGAAGCTCCGCAGCTCGCTCGTTCTTCCCTCTGCTTAGTGTGAACTCATTTGTCGTGTTAACATCTTAATTCAGACGAATGTAGCTGTAATATCCAGAGATTTTTAAATATTTATTCCACTGAGCGTGGAGAGGCTCTCCAGAAGCAGATTTGTTCTTCAAGAGAATTGCCAACGTTCTGAGTCCCGATGTTGAGTGGATATGTGCCATCGTAGTGAACCCTTTTCGAAACCCTCCATGCTCACAGCTATATTTCGCGCAGTGTTCTCCCTACTTTTTTTAGGAGAACTGGTGTGAAGTGTTTATGGAATACGGGCAGCAGGTATGGGAGATGGTCTTCCTTTTTGTGCAATAACAATATTTTGCTGGTTTTCCATTGAATAGGCATTATGCATTCTGACAGAGTGTGAAGAGCAAGGGTGTTGATCAGGACAGGCAGAAGGTTCTCCATTCGGGTCCGATGATATCGGGGCTGGGCTTCGTTTTTTTGACTTGATTCTTCTGAAGAATTCTTCAATTACGGCAACGTATCGGGTTTCGGGAAGGAGAACTGGTTGGGCAACATACTTTTTAGTTTCACGTGGAGGCAGGAGGACAGACTATTGAAGAGATCAAAGTAGCAGTCGTGGATGGTTTTCTCCATCGCTTTTCTGGAAGCAATGACTGTTCCGTGTAGATGTCGGAATACAATGTCGTCTATCTGGCGAATTTTCGGCGGACCTCATCCTTTATCATCTTTTCTGCAGAGCTTTGCAAATCGGGACGTAAGTTGATGATTGTCTTTGGCTCATGCGATTCCATGTTTGGGCACCAACTTGAGAATTTCTGGAGACAAACATTTTTGGATGGCTTTTGACCTGTCAGATTTTCTAGCAGTAGTGTAATGTTAATTGTGGAGAAGGGCAGTGCAATGGTTAGTGATGCAGTCGGGCAGGAAGCAGAGGCGCTAGTTCGACCTCCTACCCAACTCTCTCTTCCAATCCACATGTGAACGTTTAAGTCCGGTAATCTCCAAGATTGCTAGGAGAATCAACCCGACTAGCATTCTGCAACATTCCCAAAAGTGACTAAATCGTCAAGTACCAGCCGAAACAACACGCGAAATGTTCGAA